GAAAATTGAATCAGAGGCAGCGGAAAAAAGATGGCTGTTACACACTGTTACAACGTTTCAGATATTTCTGCTCATTTTCAGACATTGTGTGAAGGGGCGAAAATTGTAGGTTAGAAGCTACATGCGGTAAATAGTTGTAAATTGTTGCATATTTGGTGTCAGTGAAAGACCTATTAATAAGAAGCTGCTTAGACATAATAAGTCACACACATTTTTCCGCATCTGCCTTGGAAACACAAATACAGGGTGTTTCAGAACTAAGGGAAACTTCTAGGAGTTATTCAGTGTAACAGTAGAAAACATTTGAGAATAGTGACCCATATCCGGAAAAGTGTCACTACGGCACTACGGCTTTGAGACGCGTTAAAATTTAGAAAGACGATGAATTGCCTAAATAGGATTTAAAACATTTAATTTTTGCCTTTTGTACATGATATCAGCACACCAATTGTTCAAAATGTCTTCCTCCAACCTGAATACACGTCGCACATGATTTCGGCGGACTTTACTAAAAATTTGATACTCGTTTTGAATGATTTCAAATGCTGCTGTAATTCATCGAATTAAGTCTTGCTCTGTTTCTACTGGAGTTTCGTAAACCAAAGACTTTACATGGCAATCTGGCAATCCGACGGTGCCCAAACCGCTGAGCCAAATACTCACGTACTTGTACAGCAACGTGAGCTGGCGCTCCATCATGCTGAAACCACATTTGCTGTTGAACGTCAATGGAACATTTTCAAGAAGTTCTGGAAGAACTTCCTCCAAGAAACGCCAGTAAATAGGTCCTGTTAACCGTTCCGGTTGAAGGTATAGCACAATCAAATAATCATCAACAATGCCTGCCCATGCTTTGACAGACTAACGTTGCTGATGTTTTCTAGGAAAAATTGTATGGGGATTTTCTTTGTCCCAAACGTGGATATTCCTACTATTATAAATACCGTCTCTTGTGAAAGAGGTTTCATCGGTCCATAAAACATAGCGTTCAAAATTTGTTTGTGCAGCAATTGGATGAAGAAGCGATTGACAAAATTGAACTCTAGGATGATAATGGGCTGCAGTCAATCCTTGAACTTTCTGGAAGTGGTAAGGATAAAGTTGTTGCTCGTGTAGCACCCTCCAGACGGAAGCGTTACTCGTATTCATATCCTCAGCAATGTGACGTGTGCTACTTGATGGTTCGTCGGCAACTCGCTGAAGGACCTCTTCTTCAAATTCGACCGTTCTTACGGTTCGAGCAACATCAGTATCATGCATGTTGGTTTTAAACATGCCTGTCTCGGAGAGCCGCCGATGAATAGCAATAAACTTTTTGTATCCCCGATGCTGTCGTTCGGGATAACGTTCCTGATACATTGCTGCTCCGTATGCCAAATGTATATCCGCCAATTCTTGATTGGTAAAGTTTTCCATTAGCAACAATTAATTTTTGTTAAATTCTTGCAAACTTCACAAATACAATAGCACGACTAAGGCGTAATGGAATGCTGCTACAAAAAACAATCTCTGTTTTCGTTTTTAAAGATAACAACACACAAGCGCCGGATATGGATCCCTATATATACTAAAATGTTTTCTACTGTTACACTGAATAACCTCTACAAGTTTGATCCCATAGTTCTGAGACAACCCTGTATAATAGATTTGCTTTATATAATTTAATATGCAGAGGTCGAAGGTTCGTCGTACGATTCAATTAATCACGATTCGATTTCGCCTTTTGAAACGATTTGTGACGGTGGACAAAAAACGAAGAAAAAACCGTTCAAACTTTGTTCTTTGACGTAGGTTGCTGTTAGAGGGAAAGGGTACATCTCAACCTCGGTAAGCGCCTATTAGACGTATTTCCCCGTATATTTGCCATTAGAACTAACAAGGATAGAGAAATATCTTCGACAGCCATCTCTCTCTGGGTTGCAGTACAAGCAGTAAGGTACGGAGTTGACTTGATCCACTTATTTTTGTTGTCAGACATGTTCGTAGCTAACTTTTTTCTTAGAGGGCCTAACTTGTACCGAACATAATCATTTATGAACTGATGACAGCGTTGCGTGGGAAGTGCAAAGTCAACCTACTTGACACCATTTTGTATAACCTATTCGATTTCCCACAGCCACATAACAAACAATTAACCCTAATGTCTATTCAATATAATAGGTCATGTAAATCATTTTTCAAAAAATATTAAAGCAAGAAGAGCGGTTCTACTAACCTCAGGCAGTTCAAAAATATGATGAACAAGATAATGCTTGGTAGCCTGCTTCAGTATAAAAAATTATTACTTACCGTAAAAATAAGAAAACAGATGGCTAATTATAGCGTTGTCATTTTTAACATAATATCTTGTATATACCATCTGCACATTCCTTTCAAGGACCTTATTACGCATTATACTCTCACCCCCCAAGAAAAAGACCGTAATCCAGCTTATCCCCTTCCCTTCCCCGTCTTTCGTCTCGCTATCCAACAAAGCAATGAATGGAGCTCCATTGAAAAGTTATCCTGCAGGTCGATCCTGCTGAAAAGGGGTCACGCGTCCGGTACTGTGTGCCTGTCCTGCTGAGATGCACGAACCCTGTTGCGGATCCCTACGACAGCATATACAATAGTACACAGCAACGCGACTCCAGGTAATTACGTGACCTTTTTTTGTACTGAAGCTGCCGCGCAGGCAGAAACCTACATACCAGGGCCGCCCGACTGCTATAAGGAATTTAAATCCGTCTTTTCGGACTTCTGAAGGTTATCAGAACAGGGAAAGCCTCCTTAGGCAGATTGTATCGCAATCTCGACACCCTAGGAACAAGGCAGCAGTCGTTTTCTATGTACGAAATTCCCAATAGCTGTTGTGATTACCAGTCGAAATAAGTAGCTCTTTGGTAGTACACAGCCAGCCATCGAAACCACTTTAAAAAGATTCGGTTGTTATGGTTGGAGCTGTTCGCAGTAAATTCTTGAGCTATTTTTACCCTGAATGTGCGGATTTGCAATTTGTTTTGGCAACTACCTGAGGAGGGTAGGAAAGACAGTACGCAATCTACGTATATTGCGTCGAAGAACAGGATACTCATAATCCTCTAATTGACGATCGGCGAGAGGCTTATTGCTGACAATATTAGCATGTGCATGCCAACAATTTCAACCAATAGTGAGGTGAATGATGCTGACCAACGTGCAGGAGGATACAGATCGACTAAAGAACCAACAATAGGTTTCTACTTACCAGGTTGTGCATGTATAAGTAAGTACGTATTGCATAACAGCAAAAAATAAGATGACTAAATACCTTTGGTATGAGAAATTGGCGCAACGCCACCCACCATGATGAAATACTGGGACCATTACACTGATGCGAGGTGCAGCGACTGAAGGGTTTTAAAGAGTATGTCGCATATCTGAATAATCTCACACTTCGGGCATGAAACGCCGACAGGGCAATACTGTCAAGCTTTTCTGTCTGAGAGTGTCTATAAAAGCTTTCCCCTGTAAAAAACAACAAAAAAAGCGTTTAGGCTGCCTATAATGCGCGGACGACTATACTGCAGCAACCATGCGACGCGACTGCGCGTGGCAGCTTCTCTCACTGTGTGCCTAGCTCTCAAGGTCATAGAAATTCGCCCAAAAATTCAGCGTGATTTTTGAGAAGTTGCGTTGTTGTGCGGTATTGCATATGCCCAGTCGATACCCCATAACAATGCACGTTAAGTGAATTAGACGCCGCAGGCTTGTGCTCCGCAGGAATTTCTATGCTAACGCTGCTACGGCAAGTCATTGAAGGGTGAGATGTGTACAAGGGATGTCCTGCAACGTGTCGTCGTCGAGTGAAAAGAACCATGATCGAGGGGTTTTAAAGTTTAAAGGCCGGAAAGGTCAGCGGCGGCGTGGGCTACTTTTTGCCATAGCGGGGTCGATAAAAAATGTCACTTCAGATTAGTCATGTATACCTATTACTATTCTAACCAGTAAGTTGAGTTCGATCCCAACAGGGCATGTAGGATAATAAGGACTTGATGACAGGGCCTGTAGAAGAGTTCACGGCTCTGCTACCGAAAAGGGAGAGAGCAGCAAAACACATCCCATGGCACTGTAGGCCTGGCGACTTGACAAACTCGGAGCGTGAGCATCCCACTGCTCTCTTCCTTTCGCTACTTGCGTATAGAGCTAGTTCGGTTCTGAACTAGTCGTTCCAAAGGGACGGGACTGCAGAGAGAATTGAAGGTATCGATTTCCGATTATTCCGATTTCGATAATATCGATTCCGATTCCTGAAAACGGATTGTATTTTAACGAACTGCTTGAAAGGAACGATACAGCTCGGATTTGAATATCGCCGCTACGGCAATTTTAGTGATTGGAAACCAGCAACAATAAATGAATAGTAATAATAATTGTGGTGTGAAGTTTGGAGTATGGATGGTTCTTGCATACATGTCAAGTTGCCATTTTAATGTGAAATTTATCGCAGCAGATTAAACCGAAAGAGTAAAAATAGAACTGAATAAAGTTAAAGATAATCGTGAAAAAAGACGGGTACGGTAGTTAAGCATTTCAGATAGAGTACATCGTTCTTCATTCGGAGAAATATGTAAAAGCAATATACAGGTCCTAACAGAAGCGTGCATTTCAAACAGTTGGCGTAAGTGCTGGTGTCGAAATCGGGTTTAGGAATCGAGGCGATCGGAATAGAAAATTATATATAATCGATTCCTACTGCGGTGTTGTTGTACCGCTCGTTAGCACCTATTGTATCACGGTAATCTGAATCAAAAAGAATTGGAATTGTGAACAAATCGAAAGAACTGGTTCCGAGACCGGAATCGAAACCTTGGAATCGAATCATTTAAAGGAACGATTTGGGAGTGGGTGGTTAAAAGAATTAGGGCTACTATCTGAAACTGAATCAGCACAATCTGAGATTAAGAAGTATCTTCGGATATCTTCGACAAGTAGGAATGTACCATTCATTCATTTTTGTACATGAACATTATTGTTTGCAGGAATATGACAGGAGACTCCAGCGACTGGTAAGTGACAATCTTTCTACCAAACTTACGACAGAATTGTAATAATCATCCAAGTTTCTGCGAATGTAAGAACAAGAGACTGAGACTAATACCATCGATTGACGTATTCCAGCTGAATATATCTGTCCAATTAAAATAGGCATTTGCGAAACCAAAAAGAAATTCAAGATCCTAGCGCCATCTATGAGACGGTAGCAGAACGAAACACTTTAACTCTTTTCAGCGTAAATTCAGAAGTCTACTGTGATGCGTTAGAGACAGGTGTTCTCCAAGGATCGGTCCTGGGACCTTTTCGTTTTATACTATATGCGAATGATCTCAATGAATATCTGTTGAATGCACTTTCGAGTTGTAAATTTACATCATGTATGGATGAGACTCATATCTTATTGACCAGTTCTAGTAACATTGAACTCTATAACTCATAATAGTGATGCAGTACTCGTATACACGGCTGCTCAAAAGTGGTGGGAAAATAATGATCTTAAGTACAGATAAGACTCATACAATGAAATTTTCACTAAGAAATAATATTTTTGATGACGTTTCCACAATTAAATCATGTCATTTAGTTAAGTTGTTGGGTATTAACAATTCATTGTCATTTAACTTGGGAGCCACTCGTGGAATCGCTGTGTCATGAATTACGTAAAAGTCCTTATGAGATAACATTTTTATCAAATCACTGTAGTAAACCAGTTTTACTAACCCTATCCTATTCAAGCTTTTACTGTCACTTGCGCCATGGCATTTTAAGTTGGGGATGCAGCTCATCGATACATATAGCTTTTCTTCTCCAAAAATATGTTATTCGAGTCATTGTAAATCTTAATTGGCCTGAATCTTGCAAGGATTATTTTCAATCCTTAAAAATAATTATAACAGTATCTTGTATTTACATTTATGAATTCTCAATATTTGTGCATAAGAATAAACTGAACCTCTTCAATAACAAATAAGAACACGATAATCAAACTGGATCTAAAGTTTTGCTGACACCCCCCTCAGCATATCAAAAGTATTTGGGTTATAAGGGTTCGGTTGTAAAACATTCAGTAATTTAAAAAAAGATATCCAAAAAGCACCAACATTAAGCAGTTTCAAAAATCGGTTAAAATAATTTCTAAAAGATAAGTGTTTTTATAGCTTGGAAGAGTTCTTTGCATGTAAAGCTGTTTTCTAATCTGTATTGTATTATTTTTTCGAGTGTACATATGTGTTTTTGTGCTATCATTTTCTTTTGACCCTTGATTTGTCTGTGGCTATTTAACAATGAGACCAATGTATTATTATTATTGCTACTTCATTTTGCTACTGCTACTTTTTTCAAGCACTCTTTGGCGCCCCTCCAATGTCTATAATTGGGTACCTTCAGACAATTAAAATAAGTGTTATAGAGGCGCCAAAATAGGGATTGAAGATCCACCGCCAACCTATGAGACAGAAACAGAGCCAATCAATCTCTTTGCACAGTAGATTTCTAAATTCATTTTTGTGTTCTGCTACTGTCTCATATGTGGCGCTAATGTCTTTCAAGTCCCTTTTTGGATGCCGGAATACAGTACCTGGTTGGCTATCTTCAGGTAGGATCCGTTATCGATGAATGCCAATACCCACAAATGACCTAGTAAAGTAAAATAAGAATTCTGTGGGGACCTTATCGGGTTTATTAACAGATCAGTATCAGTGAAACCGACATATTATGATACACATGGGAGTAGTAAAAGCGGCAGTGAGGGATCTATTATAGTAATAGTAAAGGATGATTGCAAATATTATTTTAGCCATTCAGTCTTAACGGAAAAGTAGTAGTTTATCGAAAAAGCTGATTACTGGAAACCTACAAAATTAATTTTAGTTTTGAACTATGTAATATATAGTCTGATCATATTAGCAAATTCCCTCGAAATAATTTTAACGTCTGGTTTTATTGATGCAAGTTATACATGTGGTATTTAAAAGATATATGCATAAAATGGGTACACCAATTTGTGTGGGAAAACTTTTCATTCGACAACAAATAATGAGAAAACGTGTTTTTTGGGATTTAATCAGAAGTGTTGCAAGGAACGAAAAAACTCTTCAAATAAGAGTTTTAGGTACTAATGAAACCTACCAAATGAGACCACACGTAACAAGATCCAAATAATAACAAAAAAGTTATGGCCGACAAACGAGACAAAATGCAGCTTTTGTCACTTGTTAGTAATGTAACGATAATTATACGCGGCTACTTGAAATTCTTCAAATCCGTAAGACTCTACTTCTAAATAACCACAACAAAATTGGAGTAGATTGATCAACTGGCTTTTGAGGATTTCAAATTGTTTAACCCAAAACACCCGCTTCCGGCCATCACTACTAGTTTATTGAGCAGTCTACCAGGTTCGTTCAAAGGGCATTTTATAGCAAAAATCTCAAGTTTACCTTGCCGATATGAATCACAAACCAGACCAAAAGATGTTATTTTTATTCGAAAAAGACAGGGTTACGTTTTCTCCTTCTAAATAGATTCAAACATTTCGTATTTGTGAGTAATTGATCAGATGCGCTACGAAATTCGAAAAACAGACGCTATTATACACATTTTGAAACAAATCGAATATGTCTATCCCCTTCTGTTGCGGAGAAAAAAAGTGTTTTCAAAATTTCTTCATACTCTTAATATGTATACTCATTAAGAGCTGAAATTTTTACATGGTTACAGATGAGCCTTAAAGTTCTAAAAAAAAATTATTTCATACTGAAATGCACTGAACTGTTTATAAAGTTAGCAAGCAAACCGAAGACACAATTATTTTTCACACTGTCTTAGCCTAGTTAGTGGTAAATAGCAACATTATTAATGACTTCATGACTTTGTCAGGTAAGTAGGTCACGAAATCAAGTTTCTTTACGAATAAATATAATTCCATGGATCGTTTTCCTAAAAGTATTGATATAGTACACGTTTGTTTCAGAAATGTAGCGAACTTACAGTCTTAAAAATTAGGGAACAAGCTTGGTATTAGTCCCTAATGCATTGTTTTAAGTTTCAGCATTGCATCTTGTATATTTTTCAATATTATTCTAATTGTTTATAACCGATTTGATGTGCCGACAACGTGGTATAAAGTTTCAATAAACCAAGAGGCGTCGTAGTCTAGTAGGAAAGAGTAACGAATGCAGATCCGCAGGAGTTTCGAATCCACAAATCTAATTCTTTTTCTATTATTTTTTTTAATTTTGGAGAAATAAATGCTACTTCTTAGCAAACTTGCATAATAGGCATTCTGCAATTTTATTCAAATATTCAAAGCATTTATTAAGCAGAATTTTATACAGCAACAGAGACACAGTGTTATTTTCAATAAAATGCAATTTAATTCCTGTCATATCAATATAGATATTGTGTCAGATTTGTGTCCATGCTTCTCGAGTATAAAAATAAATTGTATTAGCTAAACCAAGTGATATATGACGTATTTCTTAATTTCATATGGGCTTTAGGGACCTATGTTACACAAATCGTATGCTTGTTACAGAAACATTTCACAAGAACTCGACCATTTATTAAATCCGTTACTTCAAATTCTCCACGGAATCGTCCTCAAAGAGTTTCTACCTCAAGGTCAAACGGTCAATCAACACTTTTAAAGGGAGGTTCTTGAAAAACTGCTTGTGAGACCAAACATCAAGAACAACTGGGTGTTCCCCCCCTACTGAGCGAGGGCCGTGGCAAATGTTTGTTCCGGAAGTCGTTGTATCCAGTATACAACTTCTTCCCGTCCAAGTGATTGTGCACGCGTTAAGGAATACCTCAGTACCGATTTCCGGGTGGCGGAGACAAAAATCTCAGAGACTGCACCGATTAACCATCTCAACTTCCCAAACTACGAGGTGCACTCCAATCTGAGAAAGAACGGGGGAGTTGTGGCTTTTGTCCGCAGCAGTCTTTCCTGCTCCAGGGATCTTTCTTTGGAATCAGACCGGAAGGACAATCTGTGGCTTCGCCTCAACTCCAAAACATCACCCAAATTTATTTGCTGCCTTTATCGCTCTCCTTCGAACCATAACTGGGATGACCTACTCGAATACCTCGCCGTCCTGAACATCAATCACCCCGCTTCAGAGGTAGTTCTTCTCGGTGATTTCAATGCCCATAATGAGCTTTGGTTGGGCTCAAATAAGACCGATGCAGCAGGTCTTGCAGTCGAAGCGTTCGCTTTTACTCAAGGGCTGACCCAGCTGGTGACGAGCCCTACTTTTTTCCCCCGCGTCTCGTCACACGCCAGTAGCCTGCTGGATCTCTTTCTGACCACGCATCCTGCCCCTTACAGCACTGCTGTCCTGTCCCCCCTGGGTAACTCAGATCACGGTGTTGTGGAGGTTAGGTTTCGGTCAGAAGCCGCTGTGGCAGCAGAAACTCGCACAGGCCGCAAAACTTGGCATTACGGACATGCCGACTGGGAGGGGCTCAGAGACTTCTTCTCTAGCTTTCCTTGGAGAGATGTCTGTTTCACTGACGCGGATGCGTCGACTGTCTGTTCTTCAATAACCGAAATTATCCACGTCGGAATGGAGGAATACATCCCTCACACAGTGAAAGTTCCTAAACCAGGGTCCAACGGCTGGTTCAACAAATCGTGTGACACTGCTCGCCAGCAGAAGATCAAGGCCCACAGAACCTACTTACAAAATCCCACTGTAGAGAACAGACAAGCCGACGTCGAGTCCAGAAACAAATATAACGAAGCGGTTCGCAATGCCAAAAACCAGCATGATATAAAAGTTAGGCACAGGTTAATGTCGCAGCGCAATGGCAGTCGGTCTTTCTGGACGCTGGTCAAGCAGATTGAAAAGAACTTCTCACACAGTAGCCTTCCACCACTTACGTGTCAGGATGGAACTATTGTATTCGACTCAAAGGCCAAGGCTGAAGTGCTAGCCAAGATCTTTGCTGCCAACTCCACCATGGACGTCCCCACCAACGCCCAAGTGCCGTCAATTCAAAGGGTTCCCCACACTATGCGGGAGGTAACATTCAGGCATAAGACCGTAAGACGAGTGCTCTTGTCGCTCGACATCAACAAAGCTTCTGGTCCGGACTTGATTCCTGCCATTGTACTGAAGAGATGTGCAGCGGAGCTTGCTCCAGTTCTTTCGCGTCTCTTCCAGATATCTTATGAATCCGGCACCTTCCCAGAAAACTGGAAATTTGCTCATGTACAGCCCATCCCAAAAAAAGGATCTAAAACCGACCCTTACAACTACAGGCCTATAGCTCTGCTTTCTGTTATAAGTAAAGTGATGGAGAGGTGCATAAATCGCGAGCTTCTGGACTACCTCGAACGTCACAGCTTGATTAGCGACAGGCAGTACGGTTTCCGGCACCAACGATCCACAGGGGACCTCCTAGCTTACGTCACGCAACTGTGGAGTAAACTCATCCAGTCTCATGGTGAGGCTCATGTCGTTGCTCTTGACATCACGAAAGCGTTCGATCAGCTGTGGCACGCTGCCCTCTTAAGCAAACTTCCATCCTACGGCCTCCCAGAAAAGCTTTGCAGATGGGTGGCTGACTTTATCTCTGGCCGCAAGATATCCGTCGTAATTGACGGATTCTCCTCTTCATCCCACAACGTCAACGCGGGTGTTCCCCAGGGATCGGTCTTGGCTCCAACACTGTTTCTCTTACATATCAACGACCTCCTTTCCTGCACGATCAACCCAATCCACAGCTTCGCTGATGACAGCACTCTACATGCAGGAATTCAGAGTGACAAGCCGATCTCTGCCACTGAGCCGGAAAAAAGGAGACTAGCGACGACTTCTTCTCTGACAAGAGACCTGGAGGCTATCACTGCTTGGGGACGCAACAATCTTGTACAGTTCAATGCTTCCAAAACACAGTACTGTAGTTTGTCGAACAAAAAGCGTCCTAACGCTCATACAGTTTCGATGGACGGTCGAGTTCTACCAAAGAGCCATTCAATTCGGCTGGTCGGAGTCCAGATCACCGAGGACCTGATCTGGCACGAACACATCTCTTCAATAGCTGCAGCTGCTGGGAAAAAGCTAGGCTATTTGTTTAGGGCTAAGAAGTACTTTTCTCCGCATGACCTTCTCACTCTATACAAGGCCCAGATAAGGCCTAGCCTCGAGTATTGCTCACACATTTGGGGTGCTGCCGCCCCGACTACATTGTCCATGCTCGATGCTGTCCAGAGCAGGGCGGTCCGACTGATCGATGACTCTTCTCTAACAGACAGTCTCGGGACTCTTTCGCACCGGCGGGCCGTCGGCGATCTAGCTCTTTTCTATCGCTACACTAACGGGCTTTGCTCCTCAGAGCTCTCTTCCATGATGCCGCCGCGCGATGTGCCTGCCAGACAGACTCGCCTGACTTCGGCGTCCCATCCTAACCGTGTCAAACTTCGTACATCCAGAACTGGCCGATACGACCGCTCCTTTGTCCCGAGGGTGTCTAGATTGTGGAACAATCTACGGGAGGAAGCTTTTCCCAGTTCTACTAACCTTAGGCAGTTCAAAAATCGTATTAACAAAATTTCTTTGGGATCATCATAGCAGCCGCGGTGTTCCGGCATTTAGGCTTCTGCCTGCGCGGCTGTTTCGATATAAAAAAAAAAAACGATAATGCTCCTTGACACACATCAATGTCAATAATCGAGTTTTTGACTAGTAAAAAAATTCATGTGGCTCTTCAGCCTCCTTATCCGCCTGACTTGAGTCCTTGTGGCTTTTTCTCGTCCCGAGTTTAGTCTGCAGACCTCGTACATGGAACTTAGCAAATCTTAGTTATTTCAAAGAATAGGATTTCTTAGTTTTTTTCCTGGTTTTACAAGAGGGTGTAGTCAAATTCTCAATTGAACGTTTCTGCTTTCAATTTACATTCTCAACTTCTCTTTTACTTTTGGACTCCCTATTGAAAAGTTGGTGATGGAAGTCGAAAGAAGAAACCTCGAATTGGAAATTTGACTAAAGCATCTTATAGAGGAGAAAAGATGGCACTGAGAACAAGCAGTCTATTTCGGAATCGCATCTCAAATAAAGGCAGGAAAAAATAAAAATTATTTGTGATACTCGTATATCTGATATGCGAAACAACTGATTATAAGATAATTTTAGGGCCTATCTAGGTAAATCTGTTTTTTTAAATAACTAGCTTTTTTGGAATCATTAAAAACTCTGTTCATCTGTGCAAAAATCCAACATGGCGTTCATAAGAACAAATGAAGTTTATGCTAGGGGACAATAGACGAAATGTCTTACTGAAATTCTGATTATGCTATCTTGTAGAGGAAAAGTGGCAATGTTAATGCCAATTTATTTTTAAATCCCAATAAAGTCAAGAAAAAATTAAAACCACTTAGGGAGCTTTTTTCAGTTTTCCGTTTTTTCCGTCTCTTCCCGGAAGTACTTTGAATTTTGAAACTTCCAGAGTGGCATTCTGTTAGTTACCTAGATACTCAACTTTGCTCCCATTTAAGGAGATTCCAATGGTGAGTGTCGAATTTCAGACACCCAGTATATAGATAATAGATAGATAGATAGATAGATATATAATAGATTATATTCGATGCGAGTGGAGTGGGATTCCAGGGATCGGAAGGTCTGGGCCAAATTGCTCCATCTGGGAATTCGGCACCATGGTTTCGATTCCAGCCTCGGAATCCATTCCTTCGATTCGTTCACGACTTTTTTTTCTTTCCGATTCCAATTTATTTTGACTCCAATTCTGCTTTCTTCGATTCCGACGAAAACAGAAACTATACTGTTCTCTTTCACTGCTTCTTCCTTTTTTTTTAAATGAACTTTGTCATCGAGCACTTCTGCAATAATTTAAGTCACATTTCCAAATAAATGGTATATTTTCCCAAAGTAGTGCGATAAATTATAAATTATGAATCCAAGATGTTTGGTCTATAAACTTTCGGCCAATTAACATTTTCCTCGTGACCTTCGCAAATGCGTCAATCATACGTTTATACAATTCATTTTTATCTGAAATTTGTATTTTGAATCGCATATATACCGGCTGGTGGCGAACCGGGGTCAGACAGTTCCATATTATCAACACTAGGAAAGATTTTATGGCGACCTAGGTTTAGTAAATATTATTATAGTGTTGCAGATATCGCGTCCACTCTGTTACTTTTCCTACTTTATCTATACAGGTTGAGATATTTTACAAACGAACATTCTCGTCTATCAAGTAAACGTATAGTTAAGGGTATAGTTCTTCGCTGTGAAGCATGCCCGTTATTTATGTGGACTTTCTTGCTGATAAAAAAAAATGGCGTCAAGTTCACTCTGTATTTCCCACGCAACGTTGTCATCAGTTCATTAAATATTAAGTTCGGCATAAATTAGCGCTTCTCAAAAAGAAAATATGTGTAGAAAAGGAATTCAGTGAATTAAGTTAGTCATATAGATCTATACAACAATTAATCGCTAGCCCCAGGCCATGGTCTTTTCCCTCAAAATCTAGCTGCCTCCTTAAATTTGCATATTTACCAAAATCTAAGCAGTCCCTTCTAATATATGTAACAGTCAAAAAACACAGTAGACAAAAATCTCGAAGTCTGCACTACTTTTATTAACTTTAACTTATGATTTCTCTTGGTTGTAGGACCTAGTCGTACCAAATACTTAAAAACATCCCAAAGGAGGCTTTGGAAGAGGAAGACGATGATGACGATGAAAACAAAGAACCATTGTCATATTCTGTTAATGATTTATGCTGATATGTATTGTTCCACAAATAAATTATTATTAGATTTTTCATTATTATATCGTGATCTAAAATGAAAAACAATGTTCTGTTTGTATATATATATATATATATACATATATTTGTGTGAACATATACATTTTTTTATATTCTTTTGTTACGCCCTGTATATTTCAAGGGAATATGTTTCTCAGCCATTTGTTGCTGTTTAGTCTATAAATGGTTTATGTTATAATAAGGAAGATATGAAGGTCACTTGAAACTCTTTTTGGATGTGGTTTAGAGAGAAGGCAGATAAGATATTTTGTGAGGACAGTCGAGAATAAACTTAAAAAAGTATAATAACCCAATATCTTATTTCTTGAAATCATGCGTGAGCTCTCATTTGCTTTAAAAGGTTACTATAACACTTTTAGTATAATATTCATGGCCATTGGGAATTAATACCAACTTTTAAGGTATGCTGCCTTACTGTGCGGCGGGCCGTCGGCGATCTAGCTTTCTTCTACCGCTACACCAACGGCTTTGCTCCTCAGACAAATGCGCCTGATTTCGGCCGCCCATCCTAACCGTGTGGAACTTCAAACATCCAGAAATAGCCGATACGACCGCTTCTTTGTCCCGAGGGTGTCCAGATTGTGGAACAATCTACAGGAGGAAGCTTTTCTAACCTTAGGCACGTCAAAAGTCGGATTAACAAAATTTCTCGGGGATCCTCATAGCAGCCAGGGTACCCTGGAATTTAAGCTCCTGACTGCTTGACACTTCGGTATAAAAACGATCAAATCACGGATTTGTCGGATTATCTAAATTTTAACCTGCAAATCCACATCTAAATGTATTATCCACCAGAGTTAGTTTGCTATTACATGTTTTCTGACGTGCCGTTTGTGGGAAACATTCACTTAAACCTGTTGGATACTTCGATCATTTTTGGAAATAGAAGCTACATTGTCCTACTTCTATCGTAATTCATAAGCAGCAAAACAAGGCCAAAGGTCATAGTAATAATCAATCAATTATAGAATATAACACTGAAAATTAGCGCAGTTCGGTATATTTAACGTCGAATATTTTTTTAATTTAATTTTGGATCAACAGTAATAATGAATGTATTAAAGCAATTTTTCGTAAACATTTCTTCTCTGAGGCTTAGGTCTAGAGTACACCATTTTCTACAGCGTCTTATCGTTCTTTGCTGACTGTTGACGTACTTACTGTTGACAATGGAAATTAGGTTGGGCGGAGGATGAGTAGGGAATTGGGTTCGATTTGATTTTGATTATGTGCTTAGTTATTAATCTGTCTTTCGAAACATTTTCAGCTAAAAAAAAAATTTCAAGAAAAATACTCAAATCGGAAGCGCAGTTATCCTTTGCGCACTTTTACATCCAATTTCTTGCAAAATTTAGAACGCGTCCTAAATTCTGAGAGAAATTGAATATAAAAGTGCGCAGGAATGATACTGCCCACTAATCCAATCATCATGCAAAATTTTATAATGACACTCCGGCTTTAGAGTTAAGAATTGGAGGTTAGAGGTTGTAGGTAAGTATAATTCTACACAGGTATTAGATGTATTTCACACATCATGGATTTCCCGTTCATTTGGTCTTGAATGATTGAGAAATGTTTTCAACACACGCGTCGAACGCAACGCAACCGACTTAGGATATACCTGTGTCGTGTTTAACCGCTGACTGGCGACATTGCCAGATGATATGTACTGTCGGTGAGGCAAGGAAGGCATTATTTCTAGGTCGCAATGTTGTCAAATGAGTGGGGACTATCGACTCATTATATAGACTTGTTTGACTGACTTGATCTATTTATTCTTTGTTATACATGTTCGTAGCTGAATTATTTCTCAAAGGTGTTAACTTATGCCGCACATAATCCTTTGTGAACTGATAGAAGTGCAGAGTCAACCTACTTGACGCCATTTGTTTTTTCAATTGGTTGTCGTTAGACTCTAGACGTGCTTGTATCATCTTTCTCTTATGCCCAAAAATGTATGTTTTAGCACTTCGTGGTACATGGTATCTCAGACGAAGATTATTTTCACTTTTATCAAGCGCAAAAATACAGACCCTGATAAAGACCAGAGAACTCTGGCTCTTCGATATGAAGAAAAAACGAGCTTTATATCTTTTTTCTAAACCATAAATATTTGTGGATTTATACTGGAATTATGTGGTACTACTAGTCAATCGGTAACAGACCAAATATTAGGATATAACAATGATCTAATTTGTAAATCCTGCGATAGTGGGCTACGCATAATCATAATGTTATCAAATCTCCAGACCATTTCCAAATGATCTAACCCGAAACTGTCTCGATGGTTTTGCTAACAAAGCGTTGTGAACAGCTGATGTGAGCTGCTGCTTTTTTTTTCGTGAAAATATACGCAGTAGCCTTGGCTGCTGTCATTTAATTACCGAAATATTTAAATTCGGTAAACAAGCAGCATACAATGCAAATTCGCCGCTGACGGAGGATATTATGCAATAATTATTTTGTTTTTGATAGTACTGGGTGCGATAATAGACAATGGCGGAGCGCCGTTGGAACCGCACAGTAAAGTATTTACAGGTAGTGAAGTTGTGGATGGAGCAATGAATGCCATATGATAGGGGACCTCGATAGCTATCGAAATAACCCCTAATGTTTTCCACTTTTGTGAAATTGTAGAAAAAACCCGATTTAAAACTACCTAAGTTTGGTAGAATTGGGAATGTTCCACAATCTCGATTCCCTAGGGGCAACGGAGCAGCGGTCGTATCGGCCAGTTCAAGATAGACGTTGTTCGACATGTTTATGATTTGAGGCCGAAGTCTGACGGGTCTGTCTGGCAGGCACATCGCGCATAGCCTAGCTGTTTCCCAGCGGCTGCTGCTATTGACGATTTGTTCGTGTTAGATTAGGTCCTCGATGATCTGAACTCCCTTTGGTAGGACTCGACCGTCCATCAAAACCGGATGAGTGCTATGACGCTTCTTGTTGAAGGTTGTTGAGTTCTGAAGCAGTCTTGTTTTCTCCAGCTCACCGGCAGAGATAGGCTTGACACTCTGAATTCCTGCCTGTAGAGTGCTGTCATCAGCAAAGCTGTGTGGATTGGATTGATCGTGAAGGAAAGGAGGTAAGACGTTGTGGGATGAAGAAGAATACCCGTCAAGTTCGACATCGACTTTTTTACACACACGTGGAAGTATTCCCAGAATACGTGTTGAGGTCGTGTATCATCTGGCTTACGTTGATCCATTCATTTCAGACACGCTGTAGTTCTTTACGGGGTTTTTGGTGGGTCGCAATAAAACTACCAGTATCACTTTCATAAATCCATCTTTCTCAGATGCAATTTGCCTCTGCGCAGACGTTGGTTTTGTCGTCTCACACACATACTTTTTTCTTTCATCTCGTCACCTCCAAAATTTTATTGGCAACGTATGGGTATTCGTGGTGGGGAGGCGAACCTTTGACCTTTTTTACCGACCCCAATGTACCGGCACTGCTCATCTTCTAGTAACTTATTACGATCTTGCACTGATCTGGAGCGTACATACATAGACAAAAACAACATTCATAAATGTAACATTCGAGGCCGGGATTCGAACCCGCGAGCCTTAGAGCCGATGTCTTAGCAGCTCGACGCACTAACACATCTAGCTACCCAGCCGCCTTCGTCATTGTGACAACCCAGTTGTTATAGGCGTGCTCTTTGTATTCAAGTTTTGTTGATACTCGTAGTATAAAGCAAATCAATACCTGAAAAGGTAACCAGTGGTCAATATCGAAATGTTTTACTAACTTGAAGAACGGTTTGCGCAGTGTGCAGTTTTCCCTGCGAAAGTTAAGCCCCGCAAGTGGTGCAGTTAGTCAATCTGCTTATTTATTTCCTATGAAATAACTGCCAAAAACCGTGAAAAGACCTATAGATACGTATCACTATCTGCCTATTGTATTACAAACGAGGATTTATACAATGTGTCCAAAAATGTGCATTCAACAAAGGGATATTTTGCGAAATTTTAATTTCGACAGAATATAAACGTGTTGCTCCCAAAGTGGGTGCACTTACCTTTTTGAAAAGCTAAAAATATTGGTACCCATACTTATAGTATAATATGTTGATGACGTTTTTTGACTCTCTCATTGGCACCTATTACAAAATTATATTATTTGTGTTTCTGAGTATGTTACTGCCGATACGGATACGAAATTTTAAATTCTACAACTTCGTGTACCCTATGTAAGCTAATGTATAAAATAGCAGACAAACAGTTCTAAAAAAATTCAAATGAAATCGTATTTTCCAGCCTGCATACATAAATATTACTGCGTCTTAAAATTGCTCGTACCAACAGTAGAGCGTTACATAAAAATAGGGTTTCCTGGATCCTCTAGCGAGCTCTATTTTTATCTGTAAAAAATTGGCAAACATGCGGCGGTTGCAAGTTCTAATATACTTTTTTCCACAAGTTCAACGGCCGAATAATGCCATTTATCTATTAGTGTTTTGGCAACAACTTCTGCGCTATCAAGCGATCATTGTGTCTCCAGGCCCATTATACATTACGTTGCTGACTTTTGTCGGTGTCAAAGTACGATGGTTATTCATTTCGGTCAGCCAATTGGCGAAGCGATTTCGATCATTTGTCTTGAACTTGACTAAACATTTGAACGAATGCTTTCCGTGTTTAACAATGGTGCAACCATACTCATCTTACAGAGCTTGAATCTGAATAAAAAAACTATTAGAAACTTTGAGGATCTTATTCTCTATTTCCTTATCACCGCTACGGGTATTAATGTAAATGGAGCATCGCCTGCTAGTCTAATAATATTAGCAAATTCCCCGAAATACTTGTAGAGTCTGGTTTAATTGATGTGATGTGCAAGAAAAAATAGGATACACTATTTGGGAACTGTAGTGAATAATATCTGTGATCACTCAATAGAAGTGAAATGCCCTATTGAAAAGGCAAGGTCACCATTTATTCATCTTAACTCTTGAATTCCCGGTCTCATCAGTAAGTGACACAAGATAGTTCCATCAGATAGCTTGCTAGTTCCACCTTCGTAGTGGCCGATTCTCTCAACAGATTGCACTTTATGCTGTCTTATTTCGATAAACATTATTTTCAGCATAGAGGAGAGTTGCTTAGCTTTCTTGAGACCAAGCCCCCACCTCACTGAGGACTTGCCAAAGAGCACGGACCAGCTGTCCAAGGTGGGCATTCTGTGAGAATTAAAGATTTAAGAATATAATGGAGCTCCGTATAAGAGTTCCTAGATGCTCCGTGTTTTCTGTTCTATTATATGGAGTAAAGGCATGGACACTCA